TAAACGAATTCTAATACACACTGTCTAATATTTAAAATAAATTCAATTTTTCTAAGCAATAGAAGGTCACTTTGGTGACTTATTGTGACTTATTGATCAAATCAATTTATTTTAACAAATATTAAACACAATAGGGACTTAATCACTCCAAAATTTAATCTCAAGTCGACAAATTAATTCATTTAATTGTAATTAAAGCAAAACAATTGCAATTAAAGGAATTGATTGTCTAAATATTTAATAATCTAAAATTATTTAGCCCTAAAAAATAAAAAAAAATTATAATCTAGTCTTTAAGTCACTAAATTAGAGACTAAGTTATAAAATTGGACTAAATAAATTTGAATAAATAAAGTTCGGGGTTCTAATATAATTAAATATATGTCCACGGGTCTAGACGAAAAAAAAGGCCTAATCTGAGTTACAGGAAAAGTTAGGGCCTAATCTGAGAGTTACAGAAAGAAATTAGGGGCCTAATCTGAAGTTTTCCAGGGACCTAACCATTATTTTCCATCCCTAACCTTAAAACCAAAAACGATCAGAGATGGAAAATAACAGGTCTGCTGCCAACTCTCTCCACCTGCCGTTCCAGACCCTTTCTGCCGCCAACACCACCAGTTCCAACCGAAGACAAGCTCCAGTCGCCGTTGGACGGTGAACGGCAGCCAAGGGAGTCAAAACCGGTGTTGAAATCACAAATCCCTAAACTGCAATTTCAAAGCAAATTCGCCAGCAACAATGGAGGTTTTCAGTTGTTAAACTGACGGCAACCATGAAAAAAAACACAATCTTTGTTCAATAATTCCCTGAAATCGTCAATGGCGTTATACTCAAGCCAAAATTTCGATCAAAATCCATAAACCTATACTGTTTTTTTTTTTTTTTTATTTCTAAACAAAATCCGGCTAGCAAAAAACAAAATACCACCATCGTGAAAAAACCAAAACCCTCAATCCGTAAACAGTAGGGAAAAACAAATAAAAAAAAAAAACATACGAAAATTCAATTCCTTAAAAATCTAGCAATTTATGCACAAGGCTCTGATTACCACTTGTTGTTAATTAATCCAAATACATTCCCACAATAACCTAAGATCGTAATCAAACCACTAGATTCAACAAAAAGATTTGAATAAGGAAAAAGGTTGCGTACCTGAACATCGTTTGTTCAGCGATTCTTGATTGTGTGGAATTAGGTTTGCAGCCTTTCCAGAGGAATTGAAGAAATCGATTTAGCGGAAGCAGTACGAAATGAACGTAAACTGAATCGTTATTCACTCCTCTTGAGGACCTCGACCTTTTTATACCTTAGGCGTTAGTACATTCCTATTTCGTCCTTTTTAACAAAATAGAAATATATTTAATTGGTTCTCTACACTTTATATCTATAATTAGTTTGATACCTCAATTAGTCAATTATTCACAATCAAAACCCACATTTGAAATTGGGAACTTTTACAATTAGGATGTTGTACGTATTTTATTTTACATATTAAAGCCCATAATTAGAAAATTAAATCCAACCCAATTTAGGTCAGAAGATGAAGGCAATTGGCAAAAGCCTAGATACAATCAAAACCACATTTGAAATTGACTTTACAATTAGACTGTTGTACGTATTTATTTTACATATTAAGCCCATAATAGAAAATTAAATCCAACAATTCTAGGTCAGAAGAATGGCAGGCAATTTGCAAAGCCTAGATCAGAGGCATTTGAGGAGAAGATGGAGTAAAATTGCCAAGTTACAAAGGGGACAATGTTAATGGAGATGCTTTTCACGAGAAGTCAAGAATTCCATACCCTCAGAGGCTTATAAGAGCTTACTGCCAATTTGCTGCAACTCTTAACCTTCTCAGAGCCTTTGCCACTGGAGGATATGCTGCCATGCAAAGAGTTACCTAGTGGAATCTTGATTTCGCAGTGCACAGTGAGGAAGGACATATGTATATATGATATTTAAAATATATTAAAAGGACTAACAAAGCAAACACTTTAAATAATTCCTTTGGAAATTAAAGGATTATATGTGATATAATTAGCATGTACTGCATATAGTTTTTAAACACTAATTTTTTTATTTAATATTAATTTCAAAAATATTTATTTAACATTATATTAATATTATATCATTATTCAATTCAATAATACGACATTTAGCTTGTGTATACCAAGAGAAATTGGAAAGGTTGCCTCAACTATCAAATCAGTGTTCTACATACAGAGTTGCAAAACGATTAAACCAGATAAATGAAAAGACATATACACCCTCGAGTAGTTTCCATTGGTCCACTTCATTATGGCAAAGAAGAGCTAAAAGCAATAGAGGAACACAAAAACAGGTAGCTAAGAAGATTTCTTGAATTTAGCAATGGAAATAAAGTTGAAAAGCTCAATCACAAAGCTCTTAATTACATTTCTCTATTTGATTTAATAAACAATAATGCCACTCATAGATAAATCAATAATATACATATTTGAAAAAATAATCATTTTCTATATCTACGTGCATATATATGATCAGCACGTGAGTACCAAAATTTTTTTCTATCAGCCACCAGTTATGAAAAATCGCTATCAGTTGTAAATAACTAAACCAACGTGTTGTTTAGATAATAAAATAATTTTAATTGTCTAAACTAAATTAATAAGCTGCTTATTTTTTTCAATTTTATTTAAAAATTTATTTATTTGTGTATTAATAATTTATTTATTTTATTTTTGAATTTGCAGCCCTAATTTTGTATAAATGAAAAAAAAAATTTTAAGTTATTCAATAAACTATATGATGTATTATATGAAAAGAGAAAATTATCCTCCACAATTGTAAAATGAGACCATAAACTATATTTTAGATTGGATTAGATAAAATAATAAAAATTTTATTAATTGTAAAAATTAGAATGCCTAATTAACAAAGGCTTGACAAAATGCAGCAACGGATCCATGAATCATGATTCATGAATGGTTCCAATTTGAAAGGTATTTTGAATCTGTCAGTGTACTGTACACTGTAGGGTTGTCATTAACAGTTTTATTTGTAGGTTAGGGCTTTTGTTAAACCTCATTATTTTGATTTGGCCCAACTGAGTTATACCAGAATTATGGCCGAAATTTAGTAAATAAAGTACATTATGGCCCAATAGTTTTCATTTCTTCCAGGCAAATTTGGCACCCTGTCAAATTGAGTACCCTGCTATTTTCTGAGTCAATCGAATTCCCCGATTGCCATCAATATTTACTACCAAGATGCCGTAATTTTCTGGTGTGAGATTAAAAACACACCTCAATGGCCGCCCGTGGATATTCAGTCGATTTGTTTAACCGTTTGCCGAATTTATATTTACCAATTGAATATTTACCGTTTATCAATCTATTTAAATATTTACCGAATTTACTATTTACTGATTTACCGATTTAATAGTGGAGTTTTACCAATCGATTTACCTAATTAATCAGTTTAACATATAAGGGTTGGCTTTTTTAAAAAAAAAAAATTAAAATGATGCTATTTTGAATAAATCAGTAAAATTGGAAATCGGGAATTATGAATTTTTTCAGTATTTTACCAAATCATTTACCATTTACTGAATTTGTTTAAAAAATTTACACACTGTTTACCATTTTATTAAATCATTTTTATCAAATAATCTCGGTTCGATACCGTAAATCGATGATTACCTTAGCCGAAGGCTTATCTAAAATTTGCTTTTCTTGTCAATAGTTAAAATTTTAAGCACGCATAGGTGGTTAGAGTCCGACCAAGTTCATCTCAATTAAAAACTATAAAAAATAGGTCATGATATAATAAATCGCGGAGTATATAAAGTTCATATGGATCCCAAAAAATTAATTTTTTACGTTAAAGAATTAATTGAAACGTGGTTAGAATCTAACCATATATATTTTCTCTAAAATTGTTTACTAAAGAATGATAACAATTTCAAATTTGAGAACCTCATTATTGTAACCATTAGAAAGATTAGAAGTACCTAATCTCATTCTCACCTTACAAATTAATGATTTCTAACTAGTAAAAATCAGCAAACTATCAACACATTTCTAATTGAGAGCCAGCAACTTCATTGGCAGTAGCACTATTTGCCTTGGATTTAGCATCATCTAGATAATGCTGATAAGTATAGGACAACAAGCCCCAGATTGCCATCAACATGGCTATAATTTTTACTCCATCCATTTTGTCATGGAAAAATATCACAGCAAGAATAGGAACAACTGGCGATGCCAAAGTACTAATTACATTAGAGAAAAGAGAGGACACCTCAAAGATCAATCCCAACATACCCACAGAAGAAATTTGCCATGTAATAGCAGTCCAAATTAGAGTCATCAAATAGGATATTCTCCCCTCTTCATACTCCTGCATTTCATTTTTCAAACTTCTCCATTCTCCACTTGCGAAAAGCCCCACTACGCATCCACAAGTTGCAACAAATGATGGATATATTTGCATATCCAATACAGCAGAGAAGGTTTCACTCTTTATAACCTTTTCAAAAGATAGTTGCACTAAAGAAAGGTATAAAGAGAATGTTGCAGATGCAGCAACTGTGAATACAAATCCAATTGCATACTTGCTTTTAGAAATCCCTGAAGGGTTCTCCGAATCAGCATTAACCGCGAGAAGGGAGGCTGAAGTAGTAAGAAGGACTAGAGAATTGAATATTAAAGCAGTGAACTTTTGTGAATTAAGAAAGAATGAGAAGGCTGCATTAAAGGCCAACTGGGTTGCGCACAACAGCGAATAAGTGGATACAGGAAGGTAGAGGAGTCCATATGAGTACATCAAATTGTCACCTGTTAAGAGTATGCCAAAGGCGAGATAAAGAAGTGAAAATGTGGATAATTTTGGTTTAGTTGCTAAAGAAGAATTGGCAGAAGGGGAGACGAAGAAAAGAAGGGGAAGTAGAATTGGGAAGCCAGCAGATTGAACAAATGTTGCCATCCATTTGCTATTGCCACCTTTGTCATAGTATAGCCTTCCTAAAAGAGTTGCAGCAGATTGGCCTGAGAGAACAAAGAGGGTATAGCAAGTCACACGTAACCACCATTTATAATGTACGAGTTTAGGAAGCTGCAGTTTATCGTCAACAGAAAATAGATAGCCTTTATTCGAGTCTGGTGTCTCTCCATCATTAACAGCTGAAAACCACCAAACATAATATCATGACCGGATCGTAAGAACTAAAGAAAATTATGATTGGAGTGCTTATAAGAATTGCATTAAATATCATAATCCCTATCCTTTGCTACTTCCAGAAAATGTCTAAAAAATCATATTAATTAAGATTAGCAGATTATAAGATATACTCCATATTGTTTAGTAATCAAATACAACAAGCAGTTTAGATAAAAAGCCAATTCAGATTAACATGAATTGCTTTGGACACAATTCTCCACAGATTAGATAAAACCTAATAGCAAAAAGAATAAAAAACATGTATATTCTATTTACTAGAAAATATGGTTAGTGACAGAACCTGTCATTTCTGGTTGCAGTTCTTGAACACCATCCATGAAGATTCAGATTGGTAAAATTATCTGAAAGAAATGGGTATCCCTTTCTTCTTGCGCCTATAAGCAAATGGATGAGATTTCCCTTTTCGAAAAGGAAATATCTTAAACAAGCAATATAGACCTTGCAGATTTTTCCCCTCTTAGTCAAAAGATAAAATCTTTTGACCGGTTGATAACTCTGCAAGATTGACCAATCCAGTTTGATAGCAAACTCAATAATTTAATCTTTCCATGAAGGAAAAAGAGTCCAATTTCTATAAAGATTAAATGCAAGTTGCTTTGAAGTGTCTCAGTAGAATAGCATATGGAGATTCAGAGGATCATAGCCATTTATTTGCACTATGATCTAATAATATTGTCAACTGGTCTAACTTGGTTAGCTACATAGTGTACTTATACAGCCAACTAGCTGTTTTGGCATGACTTTCAAGTCTTCAACAGAAGGTATTAATGAGTGGATAATTAGGACTTATATATGCATAATGTCAACATTAAAATTGATGTGTTGATAATTTATTGCCTTGCTGTTTTTTGTCCTTTTTTTTCAGTACATTAACAAGTCTACCAACAAGCTAATGTAAAAAGAGTTGTGACTTGTGAGCAGCAGTTTAACCATTAAGTAAAAAATGTTGACCTACATAGCCTTTTAACTTTTAGTTTTACTTCAAAAAGCATTTTAACTAGACATCAAGATGGCTGTATGTATCATTTTCCAAGATCTCCATTTCCACCACTATTCCTTGAACCAACATTCCACTCAATTAACCTGAATAATGTGCCTATCAATAAAAACCAAAATGAAAATTTTAAATTTTTAAATTTACATAAAGGCCCATGCCAGAACTTGAAATACCAGAACAGAACAACTATAAAGACAAAGGGAGGCTGCTGCATCTAAGCCAGAAAAAAAGAACCATAGGCTAGCATAGCAAATGCGTATACAAGAAAGTTTTTGATTAAGAAAACATATATCATATAATTTATTTTTCTAATTATATGTAATATAAAATAACATATTTGCTTAGCAAGACCATTAATTTCATTAAAGACTGACCAAATCTACCTTAAAATTCTACTAAACCTATTCAAGTTCTCACCAAGCATTTTGCTTCTAAATGATGTTTAACATGCATGAGCTTTATAATATATTTATAAATTCATTATAAATCTATTTCTAAACATAATAGCAGCAAATCACCAATATGAAAGTATTGCAAACAGTTGTCATAAATCATTCTCTTATCTTCATTTTTTTTCCCTCTGTTCACAAGTCATAAAATAACGTTTATTAACTTTTAAAATCCAACTGCTGAAATGAAGGGGAAAAAGTACAGACAATGTTCACGAACAAGAACACACAACTAAATCCATAGAGCAAAGAAATTAAATTGTTGGGACATCAGAGCAAAATGGGAACAATATCAACAATTCATTTCAAGAACATTTAAATGAAGATCATGATGGAAGAGACCTACATGTTATTGCTAATCATAAAATTTCTTAAGATCTTGGCTGTCAATCTTGGTTAAACATAGTTTGGTCCAATGAGAATGTTAACCCTGACATCTTCCGCCTAGAAACATTGATTCGTGAAGCAAAGGAAAACAAGAAACACAAAATGTTTATTGAAAAATCAAGAACTCCCTATACAAAACAACCATCAAAATCTACTACTAACTCAAGCCACCTGAAGTTTTAACAAGTGTGACTGATCCAGCTTGCTTGTAATTCCTTGGAACCAGAACAGTACCCTTTAGCAATGAACAGAAAAGATAAAGGGGGAAGAATGCATGTTTGTAAAGCAACAATTCAATAATAATGAATGAAATTAATAAAACAGTTATAGTTTGCAGCCCAATGGCAACAATGCCATTTTTATGCAATATGCTTGAGGAATGACTTTTTGCATTTGTCAGTTTGTAAAGAACATTTTCAGAAGGGTGGGATGATATAAAATAAAATAAGCCTCATTTTATTAATTTCTGCTTTTGGAAAGTTAGCACATTACCAAAGAAAGAGCTCTACCAGTATTTCCATACAGGATTCCAACTTCATCTGTCCAAACCTGTTTTCATGAAGAATGCCATAAAAATAATAATAAAAAAAATTGTTTACAAGCAAAGTGAGCATATGGTTGATGACTATCATTACCACTCTGATTTTGGCTGAAACACTAGCTTTTTAAATTGGGGATTTCTATAAGCTAAGCTCAAAAATTCTTCTTAAGAGGGGTAACTGGTGAGAAACTTTTGGCGGCTCACTCAAATAGCAGATTGAAGATGTTAACTCAGTTTGTCTTTACGATATGGGTCAGTTAGGAGAAAAAAAAAATCACTTATTTTGAACAACTTAAGAAATGATCAATAACATGATAAATAGGAAAAATATCTTGTTAACCTGAAGAAATATGAAAAATTATAATTGCTAAAATTTAATAAAGAAAATAGAAGAGAAGAAAGTTGTTTCTGTCATATTTACAATGAGAGCAGGTCATGCTCTTTATAGATACAGCAGTAACAAAATACAACTTAGAAAATCCCTAGGATCATGTAAAGATAAAAGCGAATCATAAATTCAAAGTACAGATATATTCAAAACAAACGCTTCAACTTTTGTCTTTACGGGATATGGGTCAGAGTGTAGCGAGTTAAAGAAAAATCACTTATTTTGAAAAACTTTAAGAAATTATTCCAATAACATGGATAAATAGGAAAGGAGATATCCTTGTTAACCTGAAGAAATATGAAAACATTATCTAATTGCGGTAAAATTTAATATTTATGAACAACTCGAGAGAGAAGAAGTTGTTTCTGTCAATATTTTACAATGAGAGCATGGTTCATTGCTCTTCCTATAGAATAACAAGCGTAACAAAATACAACTTTAGACAAATCCCTGAGGATCATGTATAAAAGTATTATATAACTGCGAGAGAGCAGGTCATGCTCTTTATAGATACAGCAGTAACAAAATACAACTTAGAAAATCCCTAGGATCATGTAAAGATAAAAGCGAATCATAAATTCAAAGTACAGATATATTCAAAACAAATATTAGTTGGGATATATCTGAAAACATATCTCACGTGCTATTAATAATAAGTGCCTTTCCACGGTTAAAACCAAATCACAGAGAAATAGAACACAAAACCCAATGATAAAACCAATAACGAGAAGCAAGAAAAGTTTCCACAGGCTCTGCCTGGCATTAGAAAATCCAGCGCACGTGACATAGAGCCTGCATGAGCTTGAAGCCTACCAGCGCATGAGGCATGCCTTTGATAACCATGACTTCGCTGAAAAAGAACAATTAAAGCACTAATATCTTATGGTACACATGAAAAGTAAGAAAAGCATTCCACAGGCTCTGCATGGTGTTTGACCATCCAGGGCAGGGGATAGTGCCTGCACGAGCTTGAAGCCTACCAGTGCATGAGGCACGTCTTTGAAAATCAGATTGAACAATTAAAGCACTAATATAATGTAAACGTGAAATGTTGATTTTGTCTATCTTCAGTTCAAATATCAAATTAAGGTAAGAGTACCATCAAAATAAGTTTTACATGTAAGGATTCAGATTCTGGTAGTTAGATTGTTAAAAAATATTGAAGCAGGAAAAGTGATTGTCTGCATGTTCATAACTCTCATAACTGACAGTTATGAATAACTCCTACAGTTAGAATATTAGTAATAACAAGTAAATAAATGAAAGCATAAACATGCAGGCAACAATGCCAAACACATTGTCAAACAATGTGCAGGAAAAGCCAATTCGCCAATTCAGTTGCATCTTCTGACATTAAAGTTGAATAAATATATTTGAATTTATACAAGGTCTGCAGTTTTAACTAATTGCAAAAAAAATATCATTCTGCTTAGCTTCGTCTAAACAGTATGAAGCACACTTACAAAACACTTTGCCTTTCAAGCAGAGTACACAAATCATCTTACATTTCGGCCACATGAAACCCTTCTTCATGTTCCTCATCTTCGTTGCTTTTCTGAGCATGGTTCTCATAATTAGCAGTCAGCAATAACTGCCGCTCCTTCTCTGTGTTACCACTTTTTACAAGGGAAAGCTGATCCATCGCAATAGCATTTCTCTTGTAGTTCCAAACAAGCATTGAAATGTAGTCTTGAGGTGAAACCAGACCCAGTTCCCTAATGCAATATCGTTGCTCTTCCAGTGTTTTTGGATCCTCCAGCCTTATATATTCAAGCAGTGATTTCTCGTGATCAGGTCTCCAATTATTTGGAAATGGGGTGTAGTCAGTCTCAGGCACAAGAGACATCCTGGTATATTGAAGCCCATCGATTGACTCAGCAAGGCCCATTCTTAGCAAGTTGTGGTACTCAGGTGATGATCCTTTTTTCTCCTTCAAAGGACGACTCAGATTCCGAGCACCAATCTTATATACCTTTGCACGTGAACGAAGCTTGTATTTTGCAGCATAAAGCTTTGCAAGTGAACCTCTTATAATGTAAGAACAGAAGTTCACAATTTTCTTCCGATTGTCAGCATACCTATACCACTCAACCATTGTTGATAAAAACTTGTTCATTTGCGCGTTCGTGTGAGCTTGAGTGGCATGGAACATTCTAAAGCAAGGTTGTGGATCTGGATCTCTATCTCCCTTTAGAAAGCTCAACTTCCTGAATTGCTTAATGCATTGTTTCAAGCTTGCTGTGACTGACAAAAGAGTACCAACACCCTTTTCACTGATGATCTTCCCACCCGTGGCAGTGTACCGAAGGGTTGGATACACAACTCTTCGGCACAAAACATGGTCAAGAAACATTATACCCTTAGTTATATGTTCAATGGGGAGGCTCTCATTATCAAGCTTGAGCAAGTATTTTTTATCAACAAACTCGATCAATTGCTTTCTCAATGTAGCTGCATCTGCCCTAGGTCCCCGAACACCAATCAAAATATGACCCCCATGTCTTATATAATCCATTTTCCGCGTCTTGTCTGGTCCACTTGTAGGCACGAATTCTGGCCAAGATGTATTTCCCTGTTCTGCTTCCCCTTCTGGACTATTCCATATGACATCAGTCTTTGAAGGACAGTAGAACTCCTTAATCTTACCCTCCATCCATCGGTCCAATTCATCAAGGCAAACATTAGCTAAAAGGGGACTAAGAATCCCACAATGCCCCCAAGAAGGAACCTTCTCTGCCTCCTCAGGTGCAAAACCAAAAAAGGTCTCTAACCAATATGGATCTGGCTTTGGTTCATCTTCTGCCAACACCCTCTTTTTCTGATACTTCCTCTTTTTCTTCTTCTTTGGCTCTTCCACACGACTCGTGATCACTGGCGTAGTCAAAGCTGCCTTTACCAAATCAATCACTTTTTTGTCCCTCACATCCCTCATCAAAGCACTTATCACCAACCCTGTCTTCATGCCATCCAAAACTGTACTTAAATCTCCCTTTATATACCATAAGTAGCCAGCAAAATTCCTCCTAATTACCCTTAATGTTGTATGAGCATTCCTACCAGGCCTAAATGCAAATGACTTCTGTGAAAATCTTGCTTCATATATTGGCTCAAGGATCAAAAGCAAAACCTCCTGAACAATCTTATCCTGAAACGGAGCTGGTTGTGTGGTTGTCAAAATAGCCTTAATCTTTCTCTTCGACAAAGACTCATAATCTGTCTTATCCCTTGGAGACTTTATAAAAAACTGCAGCCTTGCACCCCATTTAAATTTATCATCAAGAACTGCATTTCTAAGTGCTAATAAATCCTCCAGCGCAGACCTTTCTATTGCACTACGGGGCATATATGCCCCCATCTCGTCAGCACACACTTTTTGGTAAGCCAAAACCCACAATTCGAAGCGTCGGATATAAAAGGTCAAATTATTCACTATCCTATCAGGTTCACGGAAATTCTCAATCCACATGTGGGAGCAAACTGAGACACCATCTTCCTTTATCAAGGTGGCTGGATCATCCGGATCCGGTGCACGGCGGTGCATTGGAGTAAATGAAAGTAAGCGAAATAAAGCAAACCCATTAATCCTAGGGTTCAAGGTATTAGATTGAGAGTACAAAAAAGTACTGGTGGTTGTAGTGGTGATAAGGTTGGAATTAGTTAGAATCTTGTGGGTGAATATAGCAAGGCAACGATGCATTTGGAGCTGATAAAATCAAGTAACAGGTTTTTCAAGTCATTTCTATGTATAATCAAAAGGTAATTGAGATTGCAATAGCAAATAGTATAAAGAAACGAAAGAAACAACAAAAACTATGGCAGAAAACGAATAAAACCCACTTCAAGCAAGCTTTTTGGCAGTACAAATTCAAAGCTAAATTGTTGAGGAAGTAAATAAATAGAAAAAAATATGTTCGGGTTTGAGTTCTTACAACGAAATGGGATCATAAACCTGGAAATGCCTTGGATTACACTGGAAAAAACTCCGTTTGTAGATTGAAGAACTAAACCGTGAAAAGAAAGAGATTGTGGAGAGGCAAACCCTGGCGCTAAACCCTTATGTTTCTCTTTGTATTTGGGTTTTTATTTTTTGGGATTGAATGGTTTCTCCGTTCAAAATGAGGCTTTGTTGGATTGGCCCGCTTGAGTGTTAAGAGTCAGGTTGGAACTATATTTTTTGGAAAACATTACTATTACATCCCTATATTTATCAAATATGACTAGTCAATCCCTACATTTATAGAAATACATTTTGAACTCCCTATGTTTTCATTACATCACAACTTTTAGTCCTTCCTCCAATTTTTTTTCGATTTTCTATTTGTAAAGTGAATAAAGAAGGGTCAAAAGAGAGAAAATTTAAAATTAATCTAAAAATACCCTTTAGTATTTTCTGTCTTTATTTTCTTTTGGAAGAATGTTCGAAATGCCCCCTAAATTTAGATCCAAAATACAGAATGCACATATTTGGCCTTTTTTATCCAAATCAGTCCTGATTTTGGGCATAAATGTACTAGAGGCCCCATTCTTGCCCAAGTCAACATGCGTCCAATGTAAACAAGAACAAAAGCAAGTGAACTTGAAAATAGAGTATTTTTTTAATAAAAATTTGAAAATAAAGTATTCAAACTCATTTACTTGCTTTTGTTATTCATAGATCGAGAATCCTAACTGAGTTGATCCTCTAACCCTTGTTATTAAGAACCTTTGCATTTTATTTTTCTTTCTTGGCTTACCTTTGATATTTTACCATTTGTCCATTTCTAATTTGTTGCTAATTCTATTATATTCTTAATAACATCTTCATTTTCTAGTGTGAAAATAGCTTCTTTTAATCACATTCTTCGTAAGTTGTGCAAGACAAAAACAAGTCCACTTATGTAACTGTAGAGCTGGTTCAAGATCTATGATAAGCAAAGCAAGCTCTAACTTGCACTTTTTACAACTCAGTTCTTCTTCTCCCTTCAACGAAAGCTCTAACTTGCACTTTTTACAACTCAGTGCACTTTTTACAACTCAGTTCAAGATCTATTATAAGCAAAGCAAGCTCGATATAGAAATATTAAGAATTAGATTTTTTTTTCTGGCGTTCAAATTGTTAGGATAAGTGTAGAAATGCAGATTAGATAGGTAATGGCTATATCTATTGCTTGTTTATGATTGAGTATTTTATATACAAAGCTTCAGCAAACTAAGTTCCTTAAAGTACAGGGAGCGACAGATACAAATAATCATAAATGATCCCTATTAGAAGGTGAGAGAGTTTACAACAGAATTTTGACTAAGTTATTACTCTTATCACCCGCAAACACAATGGCTGGAACAACCTTGAGTTTGGATTTTCAAGTGAAGAAATCGAGATTTGCGATTAGAAGCCTTGGTAACTAGTAATCAAAAACCTGATCTGTGGTGGATATGTAAGAGAACCTGAAGGTAACTTCTTGCCGGGACCTGGATCACGGACAAAATGAAGTCCAAAATTCAAGATGTTTTGACGAGAGTTGGAAAATGGCACATAGCAGCAAGATATGTAGCAGAAACATTATCACACCAAAATGCGTAGGGAACTGTTGGAACAGATTGCTTAAGTTTCACGAAGAAGGGCTTTGTAAGCCAGTTTAAACCTTCAGATGCTTGTCGTTGCTAATGCCGATACTCAGAGTCCAGTGCTCGAGCCAGGGCAACAATCTTCTGTTTTTTTTGAAACACCAGAGAATCAAGTTCATATATGTGCCATGAAAAAACAGCATTAAGCTGAAGTACTTTTCACGATCAAGGCGATACCACCCAATCTGCATCACTGAAACAGCAACAAGTTGTTGTGTCAAACAATGGCCGAAACAATAATCCATGATCAGCTGAACCACGGAGATAGCGAAGTATTCGCTTTACTGCCTAGCCAATGATGGAACAGATGGTTGAGTGCCATAAATTGGGAAATTTTTTATTGACAGCCTCGGTAACATCGCGGTCGTGTTAATGCGAGATATTGGCAGCAGGCCCACCACTTGTCGAAATAATTTGCGATCTTCAAAATTAGGTGATTGTCCATATTATAAGGAGGTTTTGTGGAGAAGATGGGTGCTGACAGATTGAGGCGTCAGTGCAGTATTAACAGACGAAGAATTTCCCAAAATGTATTTAGTTTAGAAAGATATAGGCCATCAAAAATGAGACAGCTTAACACCCAGAAAAATAACTAAGCAGACCCAAATCTTTTAAAGCCAATATCTTTTTGAAGCTGCGGTATATAAGTGATTGCAGAAGATCGCGTACATTGAGCCTGTTAATATTAAGTCATCAACATACACAGGTATTAAGCAACATGCAGAAGCATTTTGAGAGAATGAATAATGAGCTGTCTGATTGTAGAATTGTAAAAACCAAGCCGTTGCAAAGCCTGAGCAAGACAAAAGTTTACCATGCATGAGGGGCCTGTTTTAAGCTCATACAATGATTTTTTAAAGCACACACATAATTCGGTTTGTTCTGATCAACAAAGCCGTTCAGGCTGCTCCATGAAAAACTAGTTCCTCAAGGAAGGCCATGTAAAAAAGCATTAAAGACGTTCTATGTTGTCGAAATAGACACGGGCACTGTTACAGCAATAGACAATATTAAATCGAATAGTGCAGGCTTTATTTACGGGGCTAAATGTTTCAATATAATCGGACCCCTGCTTGGTGGAAAACCCTTAGGCAAACTTAAGCAGCGCTTTATGACATTCATAGATCCATCCGATTTTGTTTTCGTTCGATAAATCCCAATTTGCACCCAACAACATTGAGAGCTTGTGTATACGAGGAACTATAATCCAAGTTTCCATTGCCATGAGAGCATCAATTTCTTCGGACATTACTTGCCTCCAAATCAAATGTATTAGCAGCCTTCAGTTATTAATTACTTGTTGGAGTAGGAACAAACAGAAGCTTGAAACATTTTGGGTTTTAAATTACCGGTTTTAGAACGTGATTACCATAGGATGACGACTTGATTATAGATCGATTGGGTTGAGAAATATAGATGAGCAGATTTAGGTATGGACAGGTGGTGGCAGGTAAGGCAACCACAGCCTCGGACATGATAGGTGTGGCACCGGCACAAGTTGCTTGGCACGTTATAGGGCAGCTGAAAGGTTGTATAGTATGCGAATATTGTCGTAACGAAATATAGCAGCAGGGTAAGATGTTGTGCGAATTGTTGTCCCGAAGGGAGTAGAAGTGTCTGGAAAGCTGGTTTTAGCAGTACAAAGATAGATGGAGCGATGGTGGTGAACCTGAGGACAGAAGAGGCGGACTATCACTTTCTTGGAACGGGGAAAAACCTGTTCATCAAACAAACACATTGACTGTGAGAAGAAAATCTTATGAGTAGATAAAAGAAAGACATTTGTAACCTTTATTCAGATAAGACATATCCAAGAAATACACATTTAGTAGAGCATGGGCTCCAATTAATTCTAGGAATACGGACGCACAAAGGATAACAAACACAACCAAAAAACACGAAAGAACTGATAATCCGGATTTCGTTGAAAAAATAATTTGATAATGCGGACTTATGCGTTAAGAGTTGGGCTGGGGAGTCTGTTAATGTGATAACTGCCGCTAGCAAAGCATATGGCATCCCAAAATTTTGGTGGTACAGATGCGATTGCGAATATTAAGATAGGCCTTCTACCAGTCTTCAGTTATGTGACGGTGTTTTCTTTTCGGCAATCCGTTTTGTTTCAGGGTGTGTTGGACAAGAACTATGTTGAATGATTTCCATGTCACTCAGAATATTTTTGAAAGAGGCTGTATTTCCCCACCCCATCGGATTGAAATTGTTTAATTGGATTTATCAAAAAAAAATTTTCAACGATATTTCCGAAATATTTAACGAAACATGAGAATACATTCAGACTTTTCTGAATGAAAATATATCCAGGTGTTATTTAGTGAATGAGTAAAAACAATAGACATAATATAGACAACCATCAGAAGAATGGAATGGTGCAGGCACCCCATTAAATCAGAACATATTAATTCAAAGGTTGTTTAGCGACAAAAAAAGCACTCAACCAAATGATTATTGTGCGATTTGCTAAACAACATGTTTCACACATATAGCCTAGCCAATAGTATGGAAGTAGACAAACTTATTTGACAAAAGAATTTTAATTAATAGTTTCATTGAGAACATGCTGGCCAACGAGCAGCCAAGTTGACAAGGAACAGAATGACAAGCTGGTGAATTCATGTGAAGGCGATGAAAATAAAGTCCATCTTTTAACCGTGTCCCGGATGAAGGATTTGCTTCGTTTTGAAGGTCCTTAATCACAAAAAAATTGGCGAAAAAAAATTCAAGTGGAGACATTGTTTTAGAAACTGCAAAACTGACGAACAGACAATAAATTGTTAGTATTAGCAAGCGGGGAACATTGTAATATATTATCCAAGAAAACGTTTATGAGAATTCAAGAGAATATGATCTAGAAACCAATATGGAATTGGTAAGTTTTTACATTGTTTAGAGCAACTGTCATCTTGTTCCAGAATATTCAGAGTAGAATGCCCAAGTTTTCCAATTCAGATGTCAAGTGATGGTTGCTCCACTGATCCACAATCCACAGTTTGTGATGATGTAGTAGGCTGAGGAAGAGTAGTTGCTGGCTGGTTTAGGGCTTGGACTTGTTTTGTTTGGGGCTGGACAAACATTAGAAGTGTGGACCATTTCCACCACAATTGAGCAAGTAGGATTATAGAAATCTGCACTCTTGGATTAAGTTTACTCGACCAGTATTCGATGATAACCTCCACGCCGTCCACCACGGCCCCTGTCCTCTGAATTCCCTCCAGTATGAGCGATTAATTGAAGTGAGCAACTGCTGGTGTATTTTTAGATATGCATTTGTAATTTTGAAGTTGCATTTCTTCTGAAGTACAGACCAAAAAGATCATCAAAAGATATAACGTTGTAAGTCTTAGCTTCAATATTGCGAGTGGAAAAGGTCTGTATCAGTCAATCCGTCGCGTAAAATGTGCATCAATGAGATCATCTTCTGCAATTGGAGAATAAGAGCAAGTAACTGATTCAAACAATTGCTTAGGCAGACTCATATACAGGCTAGCAATTGAACATTATTCACGGAGATAGATAGTAGAAGA